TATTTGGCACACGGGTAACCCCCACCTCTCTCTCCTGACCACACAACACCCCTCACTCACCCCCCACCTCCCCTCACTATGGGAGGCCTGCAGGGTTCATCCTGGCCCCTCACTCCAGCCTCCATGACTCCACACTGCCAACCCACATGTTTTGATAAGTTTTGATAAGTTTTCACATAGATGGTACACCGTAGGCACTTCCGGCCACTCCCACGTCTGCTTGGTGTATTCACGGTGAATATGGTTGAGTCTTGGTACGGTGAGGCCAAGATGTCTCAGGGTAATGGCTGAGAAGGCAGCAGCTCCTCCGCCACACGTCCGTCCCCTAGGCCTCTCTCTCTCTCTCTCAGTTAATATATATATATATATATATATATATATATATATATATATATATATATATATATATATATATATATATATATATATAAAAATTCGAGAAAATATATATATATATATATATATATATATATATATATATTTATATATATATATATATATATATATATATATATATATATATATATATATATATATATATATATATATATATATATATATATATATATATATATATATATATATATATATTTATATATTTTCTCGAATTTTTTTCTTATGAAATGGTAAAGCTACCCATTTCATTATGTATGTGGTCAATTTTTTATATTTGGAGTTAAAATTAACGTAGATGTATGACAGAACGTAAACAACCCTACCTAACCTAACGTAACCTATCTTTATAAGTTAGGTTAGGATAGGTAGCCGAAAAAGTTAGGTTAGGTTAGGTTAGGTAGGTTAGGTAGTCGGAAAACAATTAATTCATGAAAACTTGGCTTATTAGGCAAATCGGGCCTTGCATAGTAGGCCGAGAAGTGCGTTCTGGCTACTAGGTACGACATATATATATATATATATATATATATATATATATATATATATATATATATATGCGAACAAGCCTGAATGGTCCCCAGGACAATATGCAACTGAAAACTCACACCCCAGAAGTGACTCGAACCCATACTCCCAGAAGCAACGCAACTGGTATGTACAAGACGCCTTATTCCACTTGACCATCACGACCGGACAGAATGAGGTGATAGCCGAGGCTATTTGAACCACCCCACCGCCGGCACTCGGATAGTAATCTTGGGCATAGCAAATCATGAGGTGATTTGGTAAAATGCTATGCCCAAGATTACTATCCGAGTGCCGGCGGTGGGGTGGTTCAAATAGCCTCGGCTATCACCTCATTATGTCCGGTCGTGATGGTCAAGTGGATTAAGGCGTCTTGTACATACCAGTTGCGTTGCTTCTGGGAGTATGGGTTCGAGTCACTTCTGGGGTGTGAGTTTTCAGTTATATATATATATATATATATATATATATATATATATATATATATATATAAATATATATATATATATATATATATATATATATATATATATATATATATATATATATATATATGCAATTGACGATCACAAAACACTGATCATTTTATGCGGAAAATCCACAGAGAAATATGAAATGAGGTGAACGTTTCGGCTTTGTTAAAGCCTTTGTCAACACCAGACTGACTAAGGAGAAGGGAGAAGGGGGAGGATATATAGGCCGACACCTGACCAACCCATCCCTAGGGTTGGTCAGGTGTAATTAACCAAAATCAGGTATAGCTTAGCTTAAAATGGTCAAAGAGGATTAAGCGGTCAGAGAATAAGGATGAAAGATTAAAGAAAAGCCTCATGAACACACAATATATGAATATACAATTATAATGAGACATTGTAAGCCTCTCTATCAGAGTTGTTTCTTAAACTGTTGTGCAATATTATAACTTAAAAATGGATCAAGTTTGTACATTCCAGTACTAACATTAAGAAGATTTGGACACTGACTGATCAGAGTAGACTCAATCAAATTCCGTTCCACGAAATCCCCACAATTGGTAATGCTTTTTGCCCCATTCCAGTTAATATTGTGATCGCATAAACTCGTATGTAGATACAATGCATTAGACGTTTGGGCAGTTCTAATACTATAAGCATGTTGTGACAACCGCAATTGTAAGGACTTTCCTGTTTGTCCAAGGTACACAGAATCACAATCATTGCAGGGAATTGAATACACACAACCTGCTGTATCAGGGGAGTTTTTTATTAAATTGGATTTGATCGTACTATTAGTGAACACCAAATTTATATTAAGTTTCTTAAAAATCAGAGACAATTTTTCAAGTCCACTCGCATAAGGTACCACCAATGAGTTAATAATTTTTGGTTTCGCCTTAGGGACGTGATTATAAAACGTACGTTTGGCTTGTACAAACGAGAAATCCAAAAACCTCTTAGGATATTGTAAACTCTTCCCAATTCATATATTTTAGCAATCTCTTCATCAAAAAACTCAGGGCTGCAAACCCTCAAAGCTCGTAGAAACATTCCTGAAAATATTGCCTGTTTAACTTTACTATGATGATTCGAATAAAAATGAACATACGACCCCACGTTGGTAGGTTTCCTATACACATTAAATTTGAACTTTCTAGCGACTCTATGAATCATAATGTCCAAAAACGGAAGAGTACCATTCTCCTCAGTCTCACAAGTGAATTTTATTGAAGGTACCAAAGAATTGAGTTCATTAAGAAAAACTATCTGGTCTTTGTCACACGGCCATAAGCACAAAATATCATCAACATACCTATACCAAACCACATTAGCCGGCATAATCCTGGATAAGATTTTTGTTTCAAAGAATTCCATATACAAATTGCTTAAAACTGGGGACAGGGGATTGCCCATCGCCATACCAAATGTTTGTTTGAAAAATTTTCCATTAAAACTAAAATAATTGTCTTTTATACACAATTTAATAAGTTCCAATACTTTATTGGTCTGCAAGCTCAAATTATATTTAGGCAGTTCCTCACGTAGAAATTCTAACAGATCATCAACAGGAACTTTAGTGAATAAAGAGGTCACATCGAAACTTATAAGTTTAAAATCAAAATTTAAATTCAGTGTGGATAGCTTATTAACTAAGTCCACATTGTTTGTCAAGTGTGAGTTGGAAATAGTACCAACTATAGGGGACAAAACTTTGACTAACCACTTAGAGAGTTTATAAGCCGCCGAACCAATTGAACTAATAATCGGCCTTGCCGGATTATATGGCTTATGAGTTTTTATAAGACCATACATGTAAGGAAGAGAGGGGGATCGACTTGTTAGCCTAGATATCAACTCTTTATCGCCTTTACACACAGTTTTAAGAGTTTTGTTAAAATGTGCAATCACTTTTTCAGTAGGATCTCTGTTAACCAATAGATAAGTAATTTTAAGCTAAGCTATACCTGATTTTGGTTAATTACACCTGACCAACCCTAGGGATGGGTTGGTCAGGTGTCGGCCTATATATCCTCCCCCTTCTCCCTTCTCCTTAGTCAGTCTGGTGTTGACAAAGGCTTTAACAAAGCCGAAACGTTCACCTCATTTCATATTTCTCTGTGGATTTTCCGCATATATATATATATATATATATATATATATATATATATATATATATATATATATATATATATATATATATATATATATTATTATTAAATATGACCGAAAAAGTAAGATTAATAATTCTAACACGAATTTTCTCAATATTTCTTATATTTCTTTTCACTGTTGATGGTAATTGAAAAATCAATTCTCCAAAATTCATTTTTATTTCTAGTCTGACGCGACACTTGAGCGCGTTTCGTAAAACATATTATATTTTCAAAGACACACACATACAACTATAACTGAATAGAGCTTAAACATCTTCGATTTTTTATACCTGCATTTGGGTGAGGTGATATGTTACAACAGTTTTGGATTCGGTGAAAACAAACTTTCAACACAAGCCAGAACACGAAACAATGGGTATTGAAGGTAAGAATGGAAGTAATTGCAGTGGGCTTATTGGCCCATATTTCTTGATGCTTCTATACTGGAGCAGAGTCTTGAAGTGGGTAGAATATAGTTGTGCATTAATTGGCTGTTGATTGATGGTGTTGACTTCTTGATGTGTAGTGCCTCGCAGATGTCAAGCCGCCTGCTATCGCTGTATCTATCGATGATTTCTGTGTTGTTTGCTAGGATTTCTCTGGTGATGGTTTGGTTGTAGGAAGAGATTATATGTTCCTTAATGGAGCCCTGTTGCTTATGCATCGTTAAACGCTTGGAAACAGATGTTGTTGTCTTGCCAATATACTGAGTTTTTTGTAGCTTACAGTCCCCAAGAGGTCATTTGAAGGCATAGTCGACGTTGGTCTCTTTTAAAGCGTTCTGCTTTGTGTCTGGAGAGTTTCTCATGAGTAGGCTGGCCGTTTTCTTGGTTTTATAGTAAATCGTCAGTTGTATCTTCTGATTTTTGTCTGTAGGGATAACGTTTCTGTTAACAATATCTTTCAGGACCCTTTCCTCCGTTTTATGAGCTGTGGAAAAGAAGTTCCTGTAAAATAGTCTAATAGGGGGTATAGGTGTTGTGTTAGTTGTCTCTTCAGAGGGTTGCATGGCGTTTCGCTTTCCTTCTTATGATGTTTTCAACGAAACCAAATATATATATATATATATATATATATATATATATATATATATATATATATATATATATATATACATATATACATATATTCATATTAATTACAATGTAAATTATTACTAGAGGGAGCTTTCAAGCCATGAAATGGCAGAGTAGAGGAGCGTAACCAAGCTTCATCACATCGGAGGCGAGAGTTTGGGTGGTGTTAACACACTATACGACTTACGGTCATGTGTGGCGACAACGTTGGAATTGCTGCTGTTTTATTATCTCTCATATAATTGCCTTTCCCGCTATTTCCCCATTGTGTGCATATTTTTAAACATATTGCATTCTTGTACAAAGTTCAGAGAATACATGTGCCACTAACTCATCTGGTGCCCATGGATGTGTTGTGGGCAATTACTGGCAACTCACCTGGTACCTGAGGATGCTGGAATGCACCTGCCACCATTCAGACAGGTGTACGGGGTGCAGGTGTCGTGGGTAGCAGGTGTGGTGTGTCCACAACCACAGGTGGTGCGGACCTCCATCTTGGGTCCCACTAGCGCCGAGATGTTAGCGTCTACGATGCTGAAGCCGTCAGTATGGGCAGCGCGCACCCAGCACCCGTTCACGCACCCGTCGGCCTCCTGGGTGGCTACGACACGCATATCTTCGTAGTCGACCTCTCTCTCGCTCTCGTACGTGTTCTCCAAAGTGACTGTACGAACGACCTCCTGGCATGTCCCGACACCGACCTCTTGCACATTGACTCCTAAAATGGCGCTCAGCTGTAAAGAAAATATTTCACCCAATGAATAATCAGCCCACGACACGCATGCAGTAACCTGGAAACTTCAGAGGAATTCTATCAACCGCCCCACAGACTTACATGCATAACTTTGAACAGTAAAATGTTGAGAGAGCATATGACGGAAAGTTACTTCTTCTCGTATGTCAGACTCAATTACAAACATAAGAAATATAATAAGCTAAGTAATACGTATGCAAATCTAGCTTCAATGGTTCACTTGTCTCACTGCGACAAGAGGAATGAGCTATATCGCACAAACGTAAGATATTTCAAAGTATATATATATATATTAATAAAATGAGGATATAAAAAATGAGGCATATTAAATGTTTTGACTTTGATGTTTAGGTTAATGAAGTGTTCAACTTCCGCTTGGAATTATACTTATAGTTTTACTTCTGTTGTCGCGACTGCTGCTGTCACGACTATTGCTAAAGTTATCATAACTACTGCCACCATTTCCACAACTATTCCAACTATTACCATGACTAATGCTACAATTATCACAACTTCTGTTACTACTATTCCCAGAACTTACGCTAATATTATCATGACTACTGATATTATTTACACAGCTACAACTATTATTTGTTTGTCAACACCTGTTCTTCACATACTACCCAGCAACAGTCATACAATCTCATTCACAACTGCTATTACTACAACTACTGCCACGATTAGTATTACTATCAGTACTAATAAACGGCCGCACTCACTTCTTGCTAGTGGAAGGAACTACTGCTACCACTACTCCGGTTATTGTCATCACAACTACAACTACCGGCCTCTAATATGGTTCATTATTTACGAAACAAATGATGTTACTGCTGTTAATAACGACTTACCGGCTGAGTGAACTCACCTCATTTTTCCTATACATGAGGATGTGGTCGAGATTGGGCACACCCGGAGCTACCAGCCACACCCGTGACGTCTCTGTGGCGGGCATGGTGTGGTGCCCGCCCAGGGCCTCCACTGACACTGCCCGCGCGCCCATGCTACCACTGCCCGCCCGCACGCCCATGCTCCTCCTGCCCGCCCACGCCTCTACCGTCGTCTCCAGCTGGCTGAGTATTGATGCCTCACCCTGTGTTACAAGACGCTGTTATATGTTGGATGTGCTTAGTATCGGTCTTTTTGTGGATCTTGTTCGTAAATAAGTAAGTAATTATCAAAGAAGGCACCAAGCCTGGAAGGCTATGTAGCACTATACGAATCTTGTTCGTCTGTCACTCCGGTGTGCATGTCTTCGTCTGTCTATTTATCCTTCTGTCTCTCTTTTTTTAATTGCCTGTTTTCGTCTGTCTTCAGTTTCTGTGTCTGAACCATACTCTTTTAAACGTACCTCTCTGGCCATGACCAGCTGGTAGGGGTTCACCGCCAAGGTAAGCGGGGTGGCGTGTGTGACGTCATGGTGGTTTAGGGACTTCACCTCGACTGTGACGTTGGCCCTGACCCCAAATTGACCTCGGCTGACGTCGCTGACCTTGAAGCTTAGCTCGTACCTGATGGACATGACACGTGTTCCCTTGAAAACAATTAACAAAGAAGAGACAGTTTCATTCCTATCCTTGACTCAACGTTTAATGAAGATTAAGAATGTTTAACTGATAGTCTAGACCAACAAATGGAGCACAAGTCCAACCCGTCCCCATGAATAACGTCCAAATACTCATTAATGCAGCAGTAAGACTCCCTGTTTGTGAATAAGGATAGTTTACATTTGACACACAATTCGTTAGGTTCAAACTCGTCTTGGACAGTACTTCCCTCTTTACCCGTGATCGAGTCTCACTGCTCTAAATGCTTCGTCCATGTGTCTTAAATACAAATAGCTGCCAGCCTTCACCTTCCTTCCTTCCTTCACCTACCTTCCCTGGCACGGTTCCTTCACCTACCTTCCCTGGCACGGTTCCTTCACCTACCTTCCCTGGCACGGTTCCTTCACCTACCTTCCCTGGCACGGTTCCTTCACCTACCTTCCCTGGCACGGTTCCTTCACCTACCTTCCCTGGCACGGTTCCTTCACCTACCTTCCCTGGCACAGTTCCTTCACCTACCTTCCCTGGCACGGTTCCTTCACCTACCTTCCCTGGCACGGTTCCTTCACCTATCTTCCCTGGCACGGTTCCTTCACCTACCTTCCCTGGCACGGTTCCTTCACCTACCTTCCCTGGCACGGTTCCTTCACCTACCTTCCCTGGCACGGTTCCTTCACCTACCTTCCCTGGCACGGTTCCTTCACCTACCTTCCCTGGCACGGTTCCTTCACCTACCTTCCCTGGCACGGTTCCTTCACCTACCTTCCCTGGCACGGTTCCTTCACCTACCTACCTCCAGGTAGGAAGGGAACCTTCACCTACCTACCTCCAGGTGGGAAGGGAATCTTCACCTACCTACCTCCAGGTGAGAAGGGAACCTTCACCTACCTACCTCCAGGTGAGAAGGGAACCTTCACCTGCCTACCTCCAGGTGGGAAGGGAACCTTCACCTACCTACCTCCAGGTGGAAGGGAACCTTCACCTACCTACCTCCTGGTGGAAGGGAACCTTCACCTACCTACCTCCAGGTGGAAGGGAACCTTCACCTACCTACCTCCAGGTGGGAAGGGAACCTTCACCTACCTACCTCCAGGTGGGAAGGGAACCTTCACCTACCTACCTCCAGGTGGGAAGGGAACCTTCACCTGCCGCCCTCCAGGTGGAAGGGAACCTTCACCTACCTGCCTCCAGGTGGAAGGGAACCTTCACCTACCTTCCTCCAGGTGGAAGGGAACCTTCACCTACCTACCTCCAGGTGGAAGGGAACCTTCACCTACCGGCCGTCAGGAGTGCCGGGGGCCATAGTGAGGTCGCCGGTGTCGGTGTCAAGGAAGAAGCCAGACAGATGGTGTCTCCAGGAGTACGTCTTGGCGGCGGCGTCCCAGTCGTCGGGGTCCTGGACGTACACTCTCCCCAGGGGCACCGGCCTCCCCTGTGGCTGGGGGAGAGAGAGGAAGGTGAGAGTGACACTCTCCCCAGGAGCACCGGCCTCCCCTGTGGCTGGGGGAGAGAGAGGAAGGTGAGAGTGACACTCTCCCCAGGGGCACCGGCCTCCCCTGTAACTGGGGGAGAGAGAGGAAGGTGAGAGTGACACTCTCCCCAGGAGCACCGGCCTCCCCTGTGGCTGGGGGAGAGAGAGGAAGGTGAGAGTGACACTCCCCAGGAGCACCGGCCTCCCCTGTGGCTGGGGGAGAGAGAGGAGGGTGAGAGTGACACTCTCCCCAGGGGCACCGGCCTCCCCTGTGGCTGGGGGAGAGAGAGGAAGGTGAGAGTGACACTCTCCCCAGGGGCACCGGCCTCCCCTGTGGCTGGGGGAGAGAGAGGAAGGTCAGAATGACACTCTCTCCAGGGGCACCGGCCTCCCCTGTGGCTGGGGGAGAGAGAGGAAGGTAAGAGTGACACTCTCCCCAGGGGCACCGGCCTCCCCTGTGGCTGGGGGAGAGAGAGGAAGGTGAGAGTGACACTCTCCCCAGGGGCACCGGCCTCCCCTGTGGCTGGGGGAGAGAGAGGAAGGTCAGAGTGACACTCTCCCCAGGGGCACCGGGACTACAGAGACTACGGGAATTAAACCTCACGTCACTAGAAGACAGAAGAGTTAAGGGGGATATGATCACCACGTACAAGATTCTCAGAGGAATTGACAGGGTAGATAAAGACGGGCTATTTAACACAAGGGGCACACGCACTAGGGGACACAGGTGGAAACTAAGTGCCCAAATGAGCTACAAAGATATTAGAAAGAATTTTTTTAGTAGGTGACAAATGGAATGCATTAGGCAGTGATGTGGTGGAGGCTGACTCCATACATAGTTTCAACTGTAGATATGATAGAGCCCAGTAGGCTCAGGAGCCTGTACACCAGTTGATTGACAGTTGAGAGGCAGGAACAAAGAGCCAGAGCTCAACCCATGCAAGCAAAAATAGGTGAGTACACAAACACACTCACTCACTCACACACACACACACACACACACACACACACACACACACACACACACACACACACACACACACACACACACACACACACACACACACACACACACTCACACACACACACACATAGGCTTGGAAAGTACAACAAGGACAGAGACTGAATGATAAAGGTGGTATTCATGAGCGAAATCGCGAAAGAGGAACTGTTAGGAAGGAAGTGCTGTCTAGCAAATGTAGAGAAGTTCAAAAGAGTATTCCTGCAGAGGGATATGACAAGGGAAGAGAGAAAGCAGGCAGCAGACGCGAGGAAGGAGCGCAGGGAGAGAGAAAGGAATCGGGGAGCCACAACCCCGATCCCTACAATTCCAGAGGGGAATGGGGAACCCTCCTCAAACAGTGCACTAGCCACAGGGAGTGCGGCACCACCCCTACATTCTACCCAACAGATACCCTACCTGCCCCAACCCCTGTCAGCCCCCCCACTAAGAACCCACCTAAGGCACCCTCCCCCCACCCACCCCTCTCCTCCCACTCACCCCCCTTCCTCCCACTCCGCCCCCTCCTCCCACTCCCCCCTCCCCCCAGGACCTCCCTTCTCCCCCATCCCCCAAGCCCTCCTTTCTCCCACATGCCCTCCCGTCTCTCCCACCCACAATCCCTCCGTTCTCCCCCACCCCCCTAAGCCCCCCCACTCCCCCCCACCCCCCCTAAGCCTTCCCCTCTCCACCACTCCCCAAAACCCTCCCCTCTTCCTCACCCACCTCAGCCTTCCCTTTCCCCCCACGCTCCCCAAGCCCTCCCCCCTTTACTGATCCCCCAAACCCCCCCTTCTCCCCCATTCCCCCAAACCTCCTCCTCTCACCCCCTCAACCCTCCCCCTTTCACCCCCTCCAACCCTCCCCCTCTCACCCCCCCAACCCTCCCCCTCTCAACCACTCCCCCTACCCTCCCCCTCCCCCCCACCCCCCACCCCCCAAGCCCTTCCTCCATCACCAGTCTCCCTGTACCAGATCCTCCCAGCTCCCGCTTACCCCAGACCCCACAGGTCCCCCCCCAGAAGAGAAGCAGAAGAGAATCAGTTTCAGGGCAATGTACTCAAACATAGATGGGATCACAAGCAAGGGAAGTGAACTAAGGGAAAGAGCACAAGAAGTGAACCCAGATGTAATCGGACTTACTGAAACAAAACTCTCTGAAATCATAACGAATGCCGTGTTTCCCCAGGAATACACAGTAATAAGGAAAGAGAGGTAAGGTAGGGGGAGGAGGCGGAGTAGCCCTACTCATGAGAAAGAAATGGAGTTTTAAGGAGATGGCTATCCCGGGCTGTGAGGGTTTCAGAGACCACATAGCAGGCACCATGACAATGGGAGGACCAAGGATAGTAGTAGCAGTAATATATAACCCACCACCAATTGAGAAGAAGATCCAGTCAAGAGTACGAAAACAACAACATGGCAGTTAACACTATAATTTAGAGGGCAGCCTCTGCTGCCTGTAGAAATAGATCCCATCTGCTCATCATGGGGAACTTCAATCACGGAAGGATTGATTGGGAGAACAAGGAACCGCATGGAGGCGAGGATACATGGAGAACCAAACTACTGGAGGTGGTGACTAGAAACTTCTTAACCCAGCATGTCAGGGAACCCACAAGGATGAGAGGAAATGACGAACCAGCGAGACTCGACCTGGTCTTCACCCTGAACGACTCTGACATAAGAGAAATCGGTTCTGAGGACCCAGTAGGAATGAGCGACCACAGTGTACTGGTGTTTGAGTACCTGATTGAAGAAGGGTTATTGAACTCGAGGAGGGATACCGAAACCAAAAGGTTAGCATACCGAAAGGGAAACTATGAGGAGATAAGAAAATTCCTAACAGATATAGCATGGGAAACAGAGCTCAGGGAAAAGACGGCCCAAGATATAATGGACTACAACACGCAAAAATGCAAGGATGCAGCAAACAGGTTTGTCCCAGTCCAAAAAGAAAACAGTGAAATGAAGATGAGAAACCCATGGTTTAATCAGAGATAAAGGCTAGCTAAGCAGCAAAGTAAAATGGCATGGAGAAACTATATGAATAACAGGACACTGGAGAGCAGAGAAAGATACCAGAATGCCAGGAATGAATATGTCAGGATGAGAAGAGAGGCAGAAAGACAATACGAAAATGACATCGCAAGCAAGGCAAAGACTCAGCCTAAATTGCTGCATAGCCACATCAGGAGAAAAACAACAGTAAAGGAACAGGTTATGAAATTAAGGAGAGGGGCAGAAGGATTCACTACAAACGACAAGGAAGTGTGTGAGGAACTGAATAAGAAATTCCAAGAGGTCTTCACCTTAGAGCAAGGAGAAATCCCAGAGATAAGAGAGGGAATAGCTAACCAGGAACTACTAGAAGAGTTTGAGATTACCAGCGGGGAAGTAAGGAAGTGTTTACTAGAGTTGGATGTGACAAAGGCTATAGGCCCAGATGGAATCTTCCCTTGGATTCTAAAGGAAGGAAGGAGCAGAATAACTGTGCTTCCCACTCTCCATAGTGTATAACAAATCACTGGCAACAGGGGAACTGCCAGAAATTTGGAAAGCAGCTAACGTAGTCCCGATATACAAGAAAGGGGATAAACAGGAGGCACTGAATTACAGGCCAGTGTCCCAAACCTGCATACCATGCAAGCTGATGGAGAAGATTGTGCGAAGAAAGCTAGTGGAGCACCTGGAGCGAAAGGACTTTGTAACACAGCATCAACATGGATTCAGGGATGGCAGATCCTGCCTCACAGGGTTACTTGAATTCTACGACCAGGCAACAAAAATAAGGCAAGAAAGAGAAGGGTGGGCAGACTGCATATTTTTGGATTGTCAGAAAGCCTTTGATACAGTGCCACACAAGAGGCTAGTGAAAAAGCTGGAGATGCATGCTGGAGTGAAAGGGAAGGTACTCCATTGGATACAGGAGTACCTAAGCAACAGGAGAGAACGAGTCAGTGTGAGGGGTGAGGTCTCAGATTGGCGAGACGTTACGAGTGGATTCCCGCAGGGGTCAGTCCTTGGACCTATACAGTTTCTGATATATGTAAATGATCTCCCAGAGGGTATAGAATCGTTTCTCTCAATGTTTGCCGATGATGCAAAAGTTATGAGGAGGATTGAAACTGAGGACTATAGTAGGAGGCTACAAGATGACTTAGACAGACTGAATGAATGGTCCAACAAATGGCTGCTGAAGTTCTACCTAAGTAAATGCAAAGTAATGAAACTAGGCAGTGGAAATAGGAGGCCAGACACAGAATACAGAATAGGAGATGAAGTACTTAATGAAACGAACAGAGAGAAAGATCTAGGAGTTGATATCACACCAAACCTGTCTGCTGAAGCCCACATAAAAAGAATAACGTCTGCGGCATATGCGAGGCTGGCTAACATCAGAACAGCGTTCAGGAACCTGTGTAAGGAATCATTCAAAATCTTCTACACCACATATGTAAGACCAATCCTGGAGTATGCGGCCCCAGCATGGAGCCCGTACCTTGTCAAGCACAAGACGAAGCTGGAAAAAGTCCAAAGATATGCCACTAGACTAGTCCCAGAACTAATAGGCATGAGTTACGAGGAAAGGCTGCGGGAAATGCACCTTACGACACTGGAAGACAGAAGAGTAAGGGAAGATATGATCACAACCTACAAAATCCTCAGAGGAATCGACCGGGTAAACAAGGATAAACTATTCAACACTAGTGGGACGCGAACAAGGGGACACAGGTGGAAACTTCGTACCCCAGATGAGCCACATAGACGTTAGAAAGAATTTTTTCAGTGTCAGAGTAGTTAATAAATGGAATGCTCTAGGAAGTGATGTGGTGGAGGATGACTCCATACCCAATTTCAAATGTAGATATGATAGAGCCCAGTAGGCTCAGAAATCTGTACACCAGTTGATTGACAGTTGAGAGGCGGGACCAAAGAGACAAAGCTCACCCCCCGCAAGCACAAT